CTGTTGTCTTTTGGACACTGGTAAGTCTGTAACATAAGAAGATACTAGGAAGGTACAGCAGTTTTTTTCTATCATCAGTGCTATGCACTCTCCTGTGTAAAAAAAATTCAGCAACCAAGCATTCAATGAATATGCCAAACAAGACTTCAGTAAAGGTGATGTAAATGCATGACATAGTTTTATGTGCAAAAAAAGGTATATAATTGACTTATTTGAGAGGTATGTAATTGACTGATTCCTCCTAAGTCAATTACATACCTCTCAGGCTCACAAAGAGAAATTTTCTAACCAGCTGTCAAGCCAGGAACCAGTGCGGAAAATTGTAGAACCAGAGACAAATTGTTTCCCAGAATCCTTACTGTTTGCAGGCTGTCCAGACCTTAAATTGCAGGACTCATCCTCTCACCTTATCTTCCAGTTATCCCAGCACTTTCCCACCAGTCCTGCCTGGGTCTTCAGGCATACAGTGGCTGTGTATGAAATGCCTTTGCATCCTTGGAAAAGGGGAAAGGGTATTACAAATTATATGATTCAAAGGCAGCTGCTTGAGTACCTGATTTATTCTGCATCCTTTAGGAAAGAAGAGGAAAAAAACATTTCTCTTTTCTGAATCCATTTATTTTGAAAATTAATAAACCCTTTTTTTATCCACTCATGCTGCTGGGTGACCTGTTTTTATTGTACGCTGAAGTGCAATAAAATAACAAAAGGCAGTACTGTGAAGAAAAACTCAGAGGCTTTATTTGAATGCATAACAAAGGTTGTTTACTTTGAAAGAACAGTAACAATGTAATGAATGTCTGGTGCAGAGTTAAGTACACCCTTGTCCAAATTTGATTTATGTGATCATTTCTGGATGTTAACTCAACCATTGTTAGCATAACCTTCATCATTTTTATATTCATGCTGCCTGTGGGCACATGCTAGTGCAGCAGTGTGAAAGAAATGTGAAATAAAACCGGTAGCAGTTCCCAGTGCAGGAAAACTCTTTTCCTGAAATAACAGAGGTTGGTGTGTAGTGAGGCATAGATCAATTTAAGGTGAGAAGATCTGTGTAACTGGAGGAGCTGTGTTGGGAGAAAGAAGGCAGCCATTGATTTCTGCAGCTTATTAACCTCTTGAGGGCCATGTGCAGTAATGCAGACATCATCCATGGTCTGCTGGCGGGTGCGTGCCTGCGTGATGTGGCTGTCAAATTACCTGGAGAAAAATGCAGCCACTTTGGTTGCCTGCTAAAACACGGGAGAAACACTGCGAGCTCAGGCCACCTGAGCTTTTGAAGGCAGAAGTTGAGCTTTGTGAGGAATGCTTGCACGAACACTTCTGTAAACGTGTGTGTAATTCATACAAGATGTCTGTGTAATTCATACAGTAACTTTGTTCAGTGTACAAAGGAGGGTTTCTGCCACCCCTCTGCCAGGCAGTCGCTCCATAGCATGAGAATGGGCATCTCTTAAGAGATGGAGATTTTTAGGTAAGCAAAACATTCAGAAGTTGCCACAATAACTAAAGTTAAACACAGTTCTGGAGGGAAGTTTTATGGGTATAAACAAAAGATATTCTTGTTTGTCTTTCACGTTCATTTCAAAATTGCCCATAATTACTAAATCCTTCCCATGTGACCTTTGCAGATCATGGTCTTTAACCAGATGCTATAGCATATGTTCTGGTATCCATAGTTCCACAGATGAAGTTCAGGGATATCTGCAGTAATATTTTTGATTAACTTAGTTTGTAATTCAGTTTCATCTGAAAGCACTGTATGACTTGTAACGTGTCATGATCAAAATTTTATATTTACGATTTAAATTGAAATTTACAGTTATAAATAAAGTAGTATGTTCAGCATTTTGCTGTAAGTCATTCACATAAATCCTTAATTTCACCTTAAAACTGCATCTTGATTTTATGTCAGCTAGTAGATCCCGTATGTTGGGAATGGCTTTTTGCTTCTGGGAGGTTCAGATGCAACTGCTGAGCTGAGAGCAGAATTTAGGTGTTCACTTTTGGCTGCATTGCCTTTTGCTCTTCTGTCCTAATTAACCTTTTTCTCTCAACTTCATATAGTTGTGCTTTACCTTTTTTTGTTTGACACTGATCTTGGAAGGGAAAAGAGAAAATGATTGAGAGATTATACTTGTTTGGGGTGTGTTGCGCTCAGAGGAGGGCAGCGACAGTCCAATTTTATGCAAGACACCATCAAAGTACATTATTGTGGATGTCAGAGTAATCTGAGATGGGTCATAGCAATCAGCTGATAAGTCCTGTGATTCAAAAGCAGATCAGTTATTACTGAAATGACCCAAAGGATGTGATTTTAACATGATATTCTTTTAAGTCGACATCCAGAGTTTGCACGTGGATAGCCTGCAGTGCTGGATTTGGGCTGTTCTGTCAAGAGCCCAGTTTTGAAAACACATTTGCTACAATTCTTTATCAGTATTATGAACTTCTTCCCTTATGCATGAAAATACAGAACAACAGATTATTGTGGGTAATCTTTTTTGTATAATATTTTAGAGTGCTCACCTGAAACATCAAGTCAGGTTTCAGGGGCGCTGTCTGCTGATGACTAAATTTGAATTGAGACCTATGACAACCATACAGAGCAATGGGCAGTAAGTTTGGTGGTTCAATTCAGAAAATATGTTTCATAATAAGAAGTTACTTGTTTCCATCTGACCTGTTCATGCTTTGGCAAGTATTATTTATGCTACTGAAATGATCTGGTAATCCAAAGGATAAAATAAACACTTCTTCATAATCCAATGTACAGCTGCTTGTTGGGACTCAGGCCAAACCTTCATTTTCAGATCATCCACAGCAACTCTATGTGTGAGTTTTAAAGACAGTTTAAGAGAGTGTAGGTGGTGATTTCAGTCATCTGTCTTTAACTGAAAAAGCAGATATTAACTTAGATAAAAATTAGTGGGAGCAACTTCTAATTTTTAATGTAAAAAAGTGAATTTTTTGTACTTTAAAATTTAAACTTGTTACCTGAAAGTAGTGACAGCTTGTGGCTAAGATGGAAATAGGAAAGTTGGAAAGTTGAGAAACAGCTAACAGAAGTTTAAAAAGTGAATTTATTTTAAGAGTGTTTTGTTATCCAGGAATTAAACTGAATGCCAGCCATTTCATAGCAGCCCTATAAATGAAAAGAAATAAGAAAACAAGTCTACTAGTTCCTCCATGTGTTGCTGCCACTGGGTAACTGTTCACACCTACATTAGTCACTCCTTCAACAGGCCGTGAAATTGTTCCAGCTTTTAAAATGTGTGAGAAAATCAAGGCAGGTGCTGGCACATCATAAATGAAAACCTGACCTTCAGGCTGGTACAGTAGTGGTGTTGTTACTGTTTTCATTCTGGAAACCACATGGCTTGTCAAGATGCAATGAAGTTGTTTCGTGCTTTTATATTATTAAAACTCAGTGAGGTCTTGGGCTGCACATGAGAACCATGAGGCTTACTTGGTGTTGGAAGTTCTATTGCTCCTCAGTATGTAAGGATGGCGTTTTTGGATGTTATTACTGACTTTGTGCCCCTCAGTGGCTGTTGGATTACTTAATAAGGAAGAAACTTGCTACAGAGGGTGCTTGCTGCTGTTAGAGAAATCAAATCCTGAACCATCCATGATCCAAAAAAACCTTAGCGACTTCTCTGGAAATCCTCTCAGAATAATACCACCCATAGAAACAGTAGACAAAGTGATATTTTAATATCACAGTAGAACAGACATTCAGTGTTTTTTCATAAAAATAGATGGAAAAATAAAAAACAGAGAGTCAGCTTCAGTGTGTAGATACTTTTCATGAGCTCTTATTTAAACCAGTGCATTGCTACGGAGCTTCTTATCTCAAGAAATCATTACTTTTCTCTCAAAGGACTGTTTAATCTTCAGTTTCTTACAAGGTTTGTCTTACAAATAAAACTGTATTGTATCTTGCCACCTTCGACCAACTGTCCAGTTTCTGTCCTCTCTTTTTTCCAAACTTATACCAGACTGCAAAATGAAAACACCGCAGCTGAGTGGTGTTTTCTATTAAAAGTTCAGATGAAATTACCTAAACCATTATGAGTTTTAGAAAGCCTCCATATTTTTCTTGCTAACAATAAGGTAATTTAATTACTCTAATTAGTGATTTAATCGCTGTATAAAAACTACTTTGGTTTTTGTGTCTCATTTAGCCCTATATGAAAATCTCCTAATACAGCATTAGGGAATTAGAATTATCCTGGTACCGAGTGAAAAGAACATAATCAGTTGTGTAACCAGAAATGCCTGTATTATCTCAATATACCTGCTTTCCTCATTGCACAGCTGAAATATTTTCTTCATTTATAATTTGATTTAATATGTAGAAATGACAGCAGACAATGCCATAGGATTATGAACCTATTCTTATTTCTTTCTCTCTTTTATTCTTTTATTTTCTTTTCCAAATGTGGGTCACACATTTGTGTTTTCAAACTGTATTTTGAGTTCTCTTTTGGTGTCACTTTTTTGATTTTATACCCAAGATCACCTTGTACTTCTAGTGCTGTGCAATTTTTAATATATTCCAATGACACCTCCTGTGAGGTATCAAAGTAATGTTATTTTCAGGTGTATAGTTTGGGAATAGAGGCAGAGAGGGTAAGAGCAGCTTTCCTGTACCTAGCTCTGCCTAGTCATTTAGGCTCCCCCTAACACCTGCAGTTAGGAGATGTGTCACCCCCTTCCCCCAGTGACTGAGCTGCGTCACATTAAAGGCTGTGGCAGGCAGTGTACTGAACTCTTCCAAAACCTACAATACTATTCTCTTCCCTGGAACATATTTCCTCTCTAAAATAAACAAATATGTTGAAGTGATTTGAACAAGCTCCTTCATGTGGCTTGGCCAGAAGTGTGAACTTCATTATTTTTGTATTACTATTTTAAAGTGATATTTCTTATATTAAACTGACAATGTCATCCATCACCTCGGGTTTCATGGTTTCTGTACTGATTGCTTTTCACAGATACTGCACTCTCAGGGGAAGTCGGCACCAAGAAAAAAGTGAAAAGACTGTTAAGTTTCCAGAGATATTTCCATGCATCCCGGTTACTGCGTGGAATTGTACCACAAGCCTCTCTCTACTTACTGGATGAGGACTACCTTGGGCAAGCAAGGGTAAGACAGGTCTCCAGCTCTCCATTTCTTTTAATAATACTAGGGAGAGTGTCAGTTTTGTTTTAGTCTTCAGATAACCAAATTCCTGGCTGATCTTTCTTAAATGACCCACGTTATGTGCCTATCTCTCAACAAACAGATTGTCCATTCCTCTTTTGTGGTTACAGCCTTAAAGGCTTAGGTCTCAAAGCAACAGAAAACATTGCTAAATCTACTCAGCATTTTCAGATTCCAACAACTGAAATTATAATATGGATTTATTAAAGAATGAAGGATTTCAGGTTAAGTTACTGATTTAAGTGCAGCCCTGACACAGCATTTAGTTCATCCACTTGGAAAAAGATGGGTGTCTCTCATCTGCTATGGAATAACTATTGGGAAACCCACAAGAGCTCTCCATAGTGGCAAAGGCTAGGAAGTGTGGGGCATTGACTGCAAACTTCACAGTGATCAAAATATAATTATCTTATTTTGCAGCTCTTACACTTACTTTGAATGGTATTTTCTAGCAAAACTTTCACAATTGATGGTGTTGGGATTATATGCCTAGGCAATTTTTATTCTCTGCTGGAGGAGATTATGTGCCAGGTGTTAGAAAGAAATTAAGAATCCAGAACTGTTTGAATGTAGACTAGAGATGGGAGTGAATGTGTATTTCATTCACACATACATCACTGTAGGTCACAGAGGTAGTCCAGAGTCAGCCTCCTGACTCAACTGATGTAGCTGTAAAAACACTGCAGTTGTAGGTAATGATGGATTCTTCTGCATGCCTGAGTGGGCTTAACAGTAGCACTGTAGCTAAATTTATAAAAGCTATTCCTGTGTACTTCTTTGTTTAGCGCATTGTAACTCATATTCACCATGAGAGCTAAGATTTTAAAACACTATTAAAAACCTAAGAGAATTTGCACTGAAAATCTGGGGACATGAAGAAACAATGAAGCATTTGTGCAGTAAAAGGGAATATTTTCATAATATTTTGGCTTATATTATTCATTGTTTTGAGTTCCATTTAGAGGTATTTTTAGTGTTATGTTCAAAACCTTCTCAGTAAAAGTCCAAGTGATATTTTTTGCAGTACAGCCACATGAGCCTGATTTCTGATATTTCAAATATGACTTCTATAGGTTTCTCGAAAAAAAACTTTAAAGCTGTAATAAACAATCCTGTGACTGATTAATGTGGAATAATAATAAAAATCTGCTTTACAGTGTGACATACCAGTCATTGGCCTTTTCACATTTGCTTTTTCCAGCATATGCTATCCAAAGTGGGAATGTGGGATTTTGACATTTTCTTGTTTGATCGCTTGACAAATGGTAAGTAATTTTTTTAAGTCTTTATTTTACTCTCTCTCGTATATGACTAGTCAAAAAATCTATAATTAATCGTTTGCTAAATGTTTCCAGTTCAGATTACTAAAGAGAAATTGGCCACATTTAACCTTTATTAAAATCACATCCTGGAGCTTTTTCAGGCTTTTCCTGAACTATAGGGCAATGTTTCAAGTGTGCTTTTGTACTAATCTAATCCTCTACATTTGTTGTTGTCACCTTTTCAAGAGATGTTTCTGTTTCATTTGCCTGTGAAACTCCCAAGCCACTTTAAATATACCTGTTAGATATAATAAATCCAGATCTCCATAATCTGTCAATTTCTATCAATACTAAAGACATTTGAGTGAAGATACCCTCGCTTCTGTTCAGCAGCAAAAATTAGGAAATTTATTTTGAGAGTAAAAATCTGTGAAATGTTTTCTCTAAACACATGTAAACCATCCCCCTTCCCCACAAATGTCCAGACATTACCCCTTGATCAGGTAACTGCTAGAGAGAGTAATGATCACACCTTTCCCCTTTCTGTACTGCTCAGAGAATTGAGATCCCTCATTCCTCACTCCAGTCTAATTAAGTTTGACTGGGGCAGAAGATGTAGAAAAAAGTTGGTTTAGAGGCTCATTCAGCTGAGTGACTGGCAGTGAAGGGTGAAAAGGATTGCAAATTGCCTGGGAAGCAAAAGCATAGTTCTTCTAAATTATCTTTCTGTGCCCCTGCTCGGTAGTCAAGACCAAGTTAGTTACCATATGTTCTTCATACAGATATTTATTTTCCTTCCTGAGTTACATTAAATAAGAAAAGACTCCTTCAAACTTTGTTTATGTGTAGTATGGGTTGGTTGGTTTGGGGTTTTTTCTAACTTCTATGGAAACAGTGATGCTGAATTAAGCAGTGCAAACTTTTTGAAATACTGTGTTTATGTATAGCTGATCATGTAATACTAGTAAGGCTCTATTTTGCCAGTGTTCCCAGTATTGGATTTACAGTAAGGCCTGTGCAGCATTACGGTGGGACTTGAGACTGCAAATGCTGCAACTCATTTTTCCTGTCTGTGTCATTGTTATGAGATGCAGTTGTAGCTGAGCTAGGTTACCAGGGTTAATTACATGTTTATGCAGCCATATGCAAAATGAAAAAAATTCATTCCAAACTCCTGATTTTTAGTAATTAATTAATTAGTACAGTATGGCAAACCCAAGTGGCAGAAAAGCCACTCTTGTTTCTGTTGTTTCTGAAGATAGACCTGAATTATGAAAATTATGTTGCTCTCAGACAAGCCTGTCGAAGATTTTGTTAAAACCACATCAGTTTCCCTCCTTCCAGTTAAAACCACAGTTTGCCTGTTGTTTTGAAAGAGCAAACGTGTCTTTATGGCATCTAGACACAAGAACGGCACTCCATTGGTACAACCTCTCCATCAAGTCTTGATTACATATAGGAGTAATTTGTATAAGTGACTTCTGAGTACCTGAGAGTCATCTAAGCTCACTTCATTGGAGATGAGTTGATAGGAGCTGACTAATAGGAAATTACCCAGATTTTTAGCCTTGCTTGGTTTGTAACTACCTGTAAAGGGAATCTAAGAGTTGTTCCTTTCTCCTTTTAGGAAACAGTCTGGTAACACTGCTTTGTCACCTCTTCAACGTGCATGGACTTATTCACCATTTCCAGTTAGACATGGTTACATTACACAGGTTTTTTGGTAAGTGCGCACCTCAGTGCCATCTTTGAATGAAGTTTATAGCTTAAGTAGAACATCAGAGAAGGCACTGGCTTGGTCTGTCTGTGTAAAAATGATGACGTAGTTGGAAATATTTCAGTAAAAGATACCTATGATACGTATCAGCATACAGTTTTCAGGCACTCAAGTACTTGGTTCAGTACCTAGTCAGTGGAGGGATTTCAAAAGGCTCCGCATTGGGCTGAAGCATCCCAGCACCACAGTCACACTGGTGATTTAAAATAAAATATGCCATGCAGAGATGTGGCTGGCTCAGGCCCACACAGACAGACAGACACTGCAGAACCTACGCGTGCACAGTACAATTGTGGTACAGCCTAATTATTTTAGGGACTAAAAGACCACTGAGACCCAGGGCAGTTAAAAGCTTATGTGCAAAATTTAACAAATTATATCAAGCTGTCCTGTCTACACTGAACAGTGTTGATGAAAGCCCCTGCTGCTGTTACTGCCAACAGAAATATTAGCCCCATGCTGTTAGTGAACCAAAAGAAGAAATTGGCCAAAATCAATTACTTTTTGCATCACTTTTTGAAAGCAGCTAAATGCCAGTTTTTCAGTCTGTCAGGCAGAGTTTCCAAAACAGGGTCTCTTCTTTAAGACTGCCTAATTGTTGCTTCTGGAAAGCATTCCTCTGGTGCGGAGACAGACAAAATCTCCCTGCTGTTTCTAACTCCTGTGGGCAGATGTGAAGCGGACAGTAGGGCAATTAGAGCTAGTGGTCTAAACTCCCAGTTTAAGGGATTACCCACTGTCCCTCCAGATGCTTGTGTGGCTGGAAACAGACAGAAGGCTCGGACTTTCTTTGGCGCTCCTCATGCTGGCAGTGAGCACCATGGGAAATCTGCCCGTTGGCTTTCCATTGGATTAATTGGATCGTGTCTAGGAGAGCGCCTTAGGCACGATCCCATGCAGCTTCCAGTGCTCACGTGGTGCTGTCCCACGACCACGTAATGGTGCACACACTGCTGCAAGGAACAGAGGGGTGTGAAGCACACATCTCAATGATTTTTCTGTCTGAGACAGAACTGAGAGTTAAGAGGTTGGTGCTCCTGGTCCAACTGGACCGGTTCCAGCGCTGCAAACTGAAGCAAGAGGGACTGGCATTTTAAAATGAACGCACAGATGTGACTAAAAATTGTCGCAGGAGATTTTGCTGTGAATACCCCAATGCTGGGTTTTTTTGATTCTTCCCCTGGGGGTATAGGAATGCCTTTGCCTGTAGTTCATCACTCAAATAACAAATCATGGCAGCATATCAGGGTCTCACTCCCTGCTGCTGTAAAATAGGTGGTACTGCCTTAATGGCACACTACTACCCTACAACAGCAGGCTAAATAATTACACTCCGTTGTGGATAAATTTGCCTCTCTTCCTTGTTTATTTTACTCCTCAATGCGAGCCTTCACTAAGGCAAGAAAGAGGTGATTTATGCACTAGACCCAGTATATCCCCTTGGGCCTCACAAATCCTTTCATGCATTTTTTCTCTAAAGGTACCCCGATAAAAGCAGCAATTTAAATAAGCTACAGCTATTTGAAGAAACTCCTCAGGCAGCTGACTGCAAAACCTCAAATTGTATTTTAAGTCCAGTTCCCACTTGTGGCCATGGCATTCAGAGACAAAAGGATCTTTGTTTTCTGTTTTGATTCGCAGTTATGGTTCAAGAAGATTACCATAGCCAGAACCCATACCACAATGCTGTCCATGCCGCTGATGTCACACAAGCTATGCACTGCTATCTGAGGGAGCCCAAGGTAATGACAACCTTTCACACTGATGTTGCTTTCAGATAGTTCTCAGATTTTTTTTCCCAGGGTTGAAATAAAAGCCCCGGGAGATACTTCTAGACAGCAGAAAGTGATGGCATGCTGGAACTCAGCAACAAGTCAGGAGCAGCCTTGGCTACAGATGACAGATGTTTCAGTCAAGCTGTGAGAGTCACTTCTCATCACGCAGGCATCCTGTCTGAGTGCTGCCATGTAAGCTCCAGCCACCACGGCGCTGTGACCCAGCCACCCACTGGTGCCTGCAGCTCTTCTCCCATCAAACTCAGAAGGAGGCAATGCATGTCTGTGCCTCAGACACCTCAGAGCATAAGCTCCCACATCACTATTTCAAAATACCAAATTGGGCACAATATCACCAGCAAAGGGGAAAACAGTCCCTTCAGATGGGTCTGTTGCAAGGGTGTCCTCTGCATGAGTATTTGACTGCTGCTGCAAGTTCTCACAGCATCAGAGTGGTGTTGCCTTGTGTTGGCAATATCACAGTGCCTTCCAGTGTGTTACTGGAAGGCACTGTGATATTGCCATGCTGAGCCACAGTATAAGAACATAACTAACCTTTTCTGGCTTGGCTCAAATGAAAGGATGTTCTGCTAGAACTAGAAGTTTGTTACACAAGAATATAGCAATGGTGAGGGCAGGAGCCGCCCCACCTTTCTTGTATTTTCATCTCCTGCAAGATCTGCAAGTCCTTTCTTGCCAGGAAATGCAGAGGACAGACAACATCCAAAACCTGGACCATACTGCTCATCAGTTCTGACCTCAGAATGCTTCTTTCATCTCATATACCTGTACTCTTTAGAGACTCATTGGGCTGGTAATAACTGCCTCACTCTCACAAACAGAAAATGCTAAGACTATCTTTTTTGCTTCTAAATGAGCCCTGTAGCAGAAAAAAATCTGGACAGGTTTTCCAACTTGAATATTTGAAGTTAGAAAGGTAAATTATGTTCTCTAATAAAATACATATACTTGAATGGGGATAGATATTTAACAGCCAAAGCTGAAATTTCAGAAGTTGGTAAACTCTGCATTTTATAACACAGTGCTATGCTAGAGAATTGAAGCCTGATCTTTTGTTGGCATTACTAAATACTTGGAGGGGCCGAGCTCTTACAATGGATGCTAACATATGCCAACCTGTCAGCCTACCTGTTTGCTTTCTAAACCAAATGAGACTATGCTGAAGCCCTTCTATTACAACAGTCCTTATATTGCCATGAGTAATAACGAGATAAGAAATACAAACTGTAATAAAAGATGATTATGTAGTATAATAACTTTATAGATGTATGTTCAACATTTACCTTAAAAACATTGTTCACAAAATTTATACTTGACATTTGTGTACAAATGCCAACACATCCAATTTATGCCATGATGTCAGCTGGTTTGTTTATTTACCAAAAAAAGTATGTACTGTTCCTGTTCTTGTTGTGATTAATGTGTGTGATGATTCAGCTTGCCAACTTCCTCACCCCATCGGACATCATGCTCGGACTGCTTGCTGCTGCAGCTCATGACGTGGATCACCCAGGGGTCAACCAACCCTTTCTGATTAAAACTAAACACCACCTTGCCAGCTTGTACCAGGTAAAAATTGCTCATCAAGTTGCTAACATAAAAAAATGCAGTCAAGGAGAGTTTAAGTAATTTGCAGTGGACTTTTAATACCAAAATCTGGCAGCGGGAGGATGTGGGTCAAGTGATCCTGCACTTCGGAGTCTGGACAATTTCAGTCAAGCACCTCACTGGGTGTCACTTCTTAAAGCAAAGTTGATACAGGAAAAGAGGTGGAAATGTCAGATTTTTTTTTGAGGACATTTAAGCCAGATCAGTTGTCTGGGTTGTTTTTGCTGTAGATATCTGGGGTGAGGAACTGTGGGTAGGACATTTAAAATCATGACAAGAAGATCTCATCTTCAGATAAGCTGCAGGCATGGTCTAAATTGGTACTGCATTAAAGGAAACCTTTGATTCATAAGGCTGTAGTAAAATTAAACAGTTAATGAACACCGCATTAAAAACAAAAAATAGAAGGCAGACAGATGAAACCAAAGGAAAAGTCGTAGACATTTACAGTAACATTCCTCGAGATACAAAGAAAGAACTTCAAGAAAGCCACTAGGTCACACCACAGGCTGTCTAGACCAGTATCCTGTTTCTAAGAGCAGCCAGTAAAAGATCTCAGAGAGAAACATAAGTCTGGGATCAGTACAGAGTTGTCCTTCACCTAGTATCCATTCTTTCAGCTCTGGCAAGCAGTAGCAGAAAACTTCCTGAAACAAAAACACAGACTCACTTGTTCAATAACTAACAATGAACCCATGCTGCCTGATTTTTGTGGTCCTTTTTGAATATTTTTGAGATTTTGGCCCATGGCAATCATTGTAGCTTTGTATTTTATCTAAAACTGTTCTATGAGTATAATCTCCACACACATGTATACGTTATTATTATATATGCACATCTCTCTATTCTTTGCATTGTACTTATATATACAATGTGCCAGGGCAAATTGCTGCCAGAGCAAATCTTAGTTTTGGTTGCACTAACCATAATTCAGAGGTAATAAATGGAGTTAGTAGTGATTTCTAGCCTTTAGAATCACAGACTCATAGAATCATAGAATCATGAAGGTTGGAAGAGACCTTTAAGATCATCATGTCCAACCCAACTGTTCACCTAGCACCAGATCCAAACTCCTCTTAAATACCTCCAGAAATGGTAACTCCACCACCTCCCTGTGCAACCTATTTCAGTGCCTGATCACCCTAACATTGACCATTTTTTTCTACTATCTAATCTGAATCTCCCCTGTCTGAGCTTAAGGCCATTCCCTCTGGTCCTCTCACTGCAGGCACGACTGGCCCCACCTCCCTGCAGCCTCTTTTCACGTAGGTGTAGGGAGCAATCAGGTCCCTCTTGAGCCACCTTTTCTCCTGGCTAAACACCCTCAGCTCCCTCAGCCACTCTTTGTAAGACACGTTCTCTGGTCCTTTCATGAGTCTTGTTGCCCTTCTCTGGACATGCTCTAGCACCTCAGTGTCCTTTCTAAAGTGAGGGGCCAAGAACTGGACACAGCATTCGAGGTGTCCTCACCAGTGCCAGGTACAGGGGGACAGTCACTGCCCTGGCCACACTATTCCTGATACAGGCCAGGATGCCATTGTTCTTCTTGGCCACCTGGGCACACACTGAATCATGCTCAGTCAGCTGTCAGCCAGCACTCCCACTGGGCTGCTTTCCAGCCACTTCGGAAGAGTCAATTTCAGCCTTTGTGGAGGTTGTCAGAGACAGAATATCCCATGTTAAAAATTAACCTACCTGAAGAAGACTCAGTTATAACTACATACACATACATAGCCAATTGAGAAATTGCTGCAATGTGCTTACTGCTTGATAAGAGAGTCTCTCTTTTTCTACCCTACACTAGCAATGTTTGGGTTTTCCCATAAGAAGTGGGTTGTGTAATGGTGCAACTGTCCTGCCCTCAGACTTGGGAATGGGCTGGATTGTGGGAGCCCCAGCCAAGGCACAGTTATGCTCAAGCACTGAAAACTTTGTGATTGGCCTCATCATAAGCTTATGCAGGTTATTATGTCATACCCATATGTTTCTGGTCCAGTCTTTTCTAAGCGTCAGGCCAGCTGAGTGAAGAGGGAAAAGAGCCAGGGGCCTAAGCCATGGTACTTTGGGAATGGTAAGGGTGCTTTGAAGAGGAGTGAGTAGAGCCAGTCCACAAAACCCCTTGTCTTTTGTAAAGGTACAAACAATTCCTTCTCAAGTTAATGGTGGCAAACAGTACTTTATAATTAGGTTGAAAAATCGGGCTAAACTAAAAGACATACAGCTAAAATACTGGTATCTTGGAGAAGTGGTTTCTGCTCAGGTATTTGGGTTTGAATATACTTACAAATATTGGTTAGAAAAGGCAGTGACAAAGCAGAAAATGCAATCTTTCAACAGCAAATGAGATCTGAAGTACCCTACTTAAGGACATTCACTGGCAAGTTTGAGTTATTTTAACTGAAAATGATCCCACATTGTTTCCAAAGGTTTTAGTAGTATACAGTATATGGATGCCAATAAAAATAACTCCTGGAAAAAAGTTTTGGTGAAAACATTTTTAGTCAAAAACTTAGATTTAATGAATAGTCTTTAAAACATGTACTTTAACATGTGCTTGAAACTGAAACAAAGTTCTTAGGTTTTTGGTTTTTAAGTAGCAGAGCCACAGAACTGCTGGGATTAATCAGCAAAAGGATCAAGTGAAAGTAAGTTTTAACAGAGCTGGCAGTCATCTGTCATTGAGACAGTGGACTTATCCATGTATGGCATTTCCATGCTTTTAAATGTCTCTTGACATTTAAATTCAAACTTTACATTTACATTTGGAAGAAAAGGTTTTGCAAAATGAGGTAGGTCAGTTCTTGACAAAGATGTAAAGTGTTTGACAGCTTCTGAAGTGCATATGTGAGAAGACTCATATTTCAGGAGGACATCACCAAGGACTCCGGAGCTTTCAGTATTTATTTTCAAACTAAATCTGTATTTTATGATGCAAAGAAGTTTGTTTTGTAATCTGTAGGGTAGTTTTCTAAGGTCTTTTGCACGTGATTGCACACACCATAATTTTCTACAAAGATAAAAGCAGTTCATTGAAGTCTCCAGCATTACAAGGACAGTTGAGAGCATAGAAGGTGACTCTAGTGGTCTGGAGGTCCCTTAGTTTTCCTGTGAGCGAGCACAACAACATTCCTTGTAATGTGATGCAGACTTTGCTTCTAACTTGCATTGTCTGGCTTTTAAATGAAGGGTAAAAGTTTAGAAGTGTGGATAGATCACATACAATATCTGTAGTACAAAACATTTCAGAAAACTATGAAAGGACACTTTACAACTTTAATGTAGGTAGGCTGGAGATAGGAAAGTACATTTTGGGCATCAGTAAAAACAGTACTCTTATGCAATCTTCCTTAAAAGCAACACTTCCAATAATAAGTGTCATTTTTGGCTATTTAACATTATGCAGTTAAACCAACTGCTCAATGAGTAAGAATAGATTGAAGAGATTGAAAAAAGTCAATCCCGTTTGACTTTAATTTAAAAATTGAAATTTGCTCTGCACCTAGTTAGTAGCAAGTCTCCCTCTCTTCAAGTACTTTCTTTTTCCAGTGTATATGTTGAATGCAGTGGTTCGAATAGCTCAGACTAAGTAACAGATTGGAAATATTGTGGTAGCTTAAGTAAAATAAACTGTCATAATCCTGAAGTCTCTGTTATAGCAATCTACTGCTGTGGGTAGGGCTGTAAATGTGACAGAAGCTTCCTATAGTGCAGCCTTCAAAGCTGCATTACTCAGTTTTTTAAAAAACCAGAACACCACATGAAGCAGAGCTGAGAGCCCCAGTCTGCAGGTCAGCACGGAGACTCTCTCTGCATGGGTTGTCTCCCACCAGCCTGGGTGATCAGATAGCTCATGGCAATTAGTCTTAATAAAGCAGTAGTGTGTTCTTAGGGGGAAGAGCTGACTCTACTAATTGCTGGCAGCCACTTCAGGGATTCTGGCTCCTTACATTTAAGAGGAGAATCATATGACTTCATGCTTGTTGTTGCTTGTTAACGTGACCTTTCCTTTCCCCTCCTCCCTGTAGTTTCAGTGTGGGAAACTAAACAGTGCAGCAGAGTCAATTTGAGGTTCCCCTTATAGCAGCAGGCAAAGAGCAGAAACTTAGAGAAGTGGAAATACTCTCAGATGACACCCTGAGTGTGCTTTTTCCTATGAGTAACTACTAATTGGATGCTGGAAAGGTCTCAGATGCCTACAACACTTCTCAGCCCTATTCTGGCTGGCCTTCAGGATAGCCAAGGAGCAGCTGCATCCATGGAGTGTAATTCCCTCTTTGAGGCAGGTGCTGCTGAAGCAGCTCCTCACAGCAAGTAAGGCTGCCATGCTGGAAGGGGTGTGGGGACACAGGGTGCTCCAAGGTGGATGTCCCTGGTCGCAATGTTTCAAGGATCCAGTCAGACCAGGGTCACAGTAAACTCTGTACACAGGCACCGTCTTAAACTAGTGTAAACCTTCCCAAAAGCCAAAGGTGACATCAGATAGAGTTTGTCCAAGTTAGTAGGAAGATGGCAGCCTGTGGCCTTGGGGTGACTCTTGGGACCAGTATTCAGCTCTGCAACTTGGTAGGTGGAAAAAAAAAATTCGTTATTATGTCCTATTACATTCTGTTATTTTTCTTGGTCAGAGTGTAGGGTTGCAAAAGTCCATCCTGGTGTATTTAGGCAAAAGGAGAAAAGGGATATTTAAGTTGGCAAATGAACAGAACTGCTGTCAAAAGTAATTTCTCTGTTGAATAACTGATACTGTGATCTGAGTCCATCAGCTCTTCCTAAGAAAAGGAATTGGTTTTTACATGGTTTGAAAGTTTTGGATTTGGTTTTACTTTGTTTTTTCCCACAGAATCTGTGATTTTTGTAAGGGAAACAAACGGACAAAGCCAGAGAGGTACCAGAGCAACATTGTTTCTGTGAATTCAGAAGCAACAAAAAGCGCTGTGGAAAATAGTGTGATAGGAAGTCAATCCAATTTGTACTCTCACCTTTGCACTAGGCAAGATGATCAAAATGCAAATTGGATCTTGCATATGCAATGTTTAGTTATTGAACAGTCTTCAGATATGACAGGACTACAAAGGAAGATGGGGAAGACTTAGGCAGAAAATACTGTTCAGTCCCTCTTGGAAAAGTGGAAGCTGCACATCATGTCCCACAGGAAAGGCAGTACTACGGCAGCAATACCTCAGAGCTGTGGGACTGTGTGTGAGGGAGCTAGAAGTCAACAGTGGCTGGAGAGAGGGATTCTCACTCCAGTTTCCCACCTGGCAGTGACAGGGTGGAGTTGTTCTCCTGCCTGCTCAAAAGGTTTGATTGTGTTTTGTTTTGTTTTTCTTATCCAGTGCTCATCCACTGCAAAAGCTGTGAACTGCCCAAAACAGGGAACAGATGATAGAGGTTTCTGAACAAGTGACATGTCTGAGGCATTTTGTGGTAGAAAGTACTCTGTGAACTAAACAAGTGATGATGGGAAAATGCATTGTGTGTTAGGATAGTAATTTCAAGTCATCAGGCAAAAGATACCAAATTTGTTGTAATTTACTGACAACCTAGAAAGCTGGGTTTCAGCTCCCTGGCAGTTTTTTTCCCACCTAACTTTGGTTCCACTTAGTTGAAAGCAAGGAAACAAAGAGGAGTCAAAATTTGTTGCAGACTAAGTTGCTGAAGCCTGCAAATGCTCAGCAGTACTGCTGTTCCTCTTGCTTTCACTGAACAGCTGCTGGCAGTTTGCAGTTCCCTGACTCAAAGGGAAATTTGGCAGTTTAGTTTTCTTTTTCTTGTCCGCTCTGCATTCAAACTGTAGAGGCTGAAAAGTCAGCCTGGAATCGGTAGGAGGTAAAAATAAGCTTTTGCACTCCTGCTTTAATTTATTTGTTAATAAATCTGCTAGAATGCAAACTGCCTCCCACTCAGATGAGATTAGCTCCTCTGTTCACAGCAGGATTCAAAAACTGCAGAACGACAGGCCTCTAGGGCTGACCTTAGCTAAGAAACCCAGAAGCACAAGGTCCTCAAGTGTAGAAATCTAGACCAATTACTCTAATCCAGCTGTGGCTGAAAAGCACACATTTTAGGCTCATGTTACAGCTTGTCCAACCAGCTCTGGGTGTCATGTGATCTGGCAAATCCATATGTGTACCGTGGATACCATCCTAATCCTTGCGTTTGTCGGTGTTGTTCCTCCGCAGAACGTGTCGGTGCTGGAGAACCACCACTGGCGCTCCACCATCGGCATGCTTCGGGAGTCACGGCTGCTCGCCCACCTGCCCAAGGAGGTCACGTAAGTGTCCACCAGAATCACTGAAAATAGGCCATGGCCTCCTTCTCCCTTCTTCAAAGCACACTGGCAAAGAGGCCCAGGCTTCAGAAGAGGCTGAACTTCCTGCGCCTTCTTGGTGCCACTGTGAAACCGTGAGACAAAGTTACAGCAGAAGTATTTGTTAACACATACCCACTTCTGCAGCACAGGAATGGAATGGCCACTCTCAGCACCAGGAACACAGAAAGTGCCAGCAAGAGCTGAGGGATTGTTTAGATGGATTGTTGGCATTTTTCATCTTACCTAGCATCAACCAAAAGTGGAAAGATTTAGTGATTAAAAAGAGGAAATTGAAGGAGCTGGTCAAGGAGCATCAAGACTGCTCTGGACTTCCCATGTCACTGAGGGAATGTGGTTCAGTCGTTATGGAAAAAGCCAAAAAAGAGCAGCCATATGAGCACCTTGGCCAAGTTGCTGCTAGCTTTTTACTTGTGTTAGTCCCACCAAGGATGGGAGACTGAGACAGTGAAAAGACTGCAGTAATACATTTTAAATCACAGGTGACCCTACCAAGAATATAAACAAGTTACCTGGAAGCAGTAAGCTCTATATCCCTCCAGAAATTCTTTGCATCAGATCAGCAACTTTAAAGGACTTCAGTCTAGACCTTCACAACTCTGACTGCAACTTCAAAGTTGCAGTATTCACCGCTCAGCTCTGAGCAGCTGAAGTAAGACGTGAGCATTTTTCTTGATGCAACATGCTGTTGTTCCAGGGTGGGTATTTTTGTACTTTCCTAGCACTTTTCAGAAGCTTTCAGAACAACCTGTGCCAACAAGCATTTTTCTTCTACATTATCTATTCTTCTTGAACCCATTTGGGCAGGTAGAACAGTTGTACCCTGCAAAACCCAGCAGAGACTGACCAAGCAGATCAGACTGGGTCCATAAAGAAAGAGGGAGCTTTATGCCAGCTCCAGTGATCCAGAGCAGGTTGTTTTGAGCTCTTAATGTTGAATGGTTCCATGATTAAAGAGGCTTATTTACCTTCATTGCAGACAGGACATTGAGCAACAGTTGGGCTCCCTGATCTTGGCAACAGACATCAACAGGCAGAATGAGTTTTTGATCCGTCTGAAATCTCATCTTGACAATCAGGATTTGAGGCTGGAGGATGCACAGGACAGACATTTTATGCTTCAGGTAACTTCATTTTTTTTTAATTGTTTTTACTAATTTTTCAGGTCACAGTATTTCCTAGTATATTTTAAGAGTAATATATTATAGCATGTCTGTACATCAGCCTCTCCTTACCTATTACCATAAACACTTCCCTTCTGCCACCTTCTGGCACATCAGGCAAGCATAAGGTGCCTCCAGTATTTCCTTTTGTAATTTCCTTGAGTTAAAAAGCTGTGAATACAACAGATACAGGAGACTGTCAAATGCTAAGGAATGGAGATAAGCTAGATAATTTTATTTCCAGAATACTGCTTCTCTTCCCAGGTAATGCTTCAGTTGTAGTGTCTCTCTCTTCTGGCAAATGTCACTCCTCTGGTGTTATTTTCTAGCACTGTGCAGGAGAGCCTCCTCATTGGTGTTCTTTCTAGGACAGCCTGACACTGGGTCTCCAAGTCCTGTTCCCGTGATGGATGCTCAGAAACTGCCTCTGCAGAGACAGCTGTTGCCATGGCAGCAGATGCTTCTCTAGTGCATCTGACCAGCTAATGGAAAGCCCATGCTTTATTCAAAAATCAAATAGGTTCATACTGGTTCTTCCAGCTAAGCAGCAGTAGTCATTAGCAGACTCTTCAGAGCAAACCTCCATCTATTAAAGCATTATTGTGATTAATGTAGCTACATATACTTGCTTCTTTGGAGAAATTACATTAATTTCATTCCTAAATACATAAAGAATTTGAAGTAATAGTTTTCATTTATAAAACAAGCACCTACATATTTTCCTTCCATCAAAGTCACAGAAAAGGTGACAGCTGCAAGGAAAGAAGTGCTGATCTGTTAATTCTTCCCCCTCCAGCAGCATGGGGAATGTAGTAGCTTCTCACCTGTTCTGTCTCAAACACAGTCTTCTGTCAGATTCCCGCACAGACTGTGCAGGGCAGGGTGACAGGTTGACCATATTTCTGGACAGATAAGGCAAGAAAGTTGTGCAAATACCAAAAGCAGAGGAATTACAGCTCTCAGCTATGGCAAAAAAAATGTTTCTTATGCACTAGGAACTTAGGAACAAGGGAACAGATAGTAAGATTCATTTATCTGGTGGATTAGTTATGGAAGAAGAAAAGAAAAAGATCAAGAACTCTTGATTGATTGGAGTCAGCTAAAGAATGTTTGAAAGGTCCCTGCAGTAGATAGTAACATTAGGCTAATCAGCTTAATCCAAAGAGAAGAATTGACTTGGAGATTTCCCTCTGCTGGTTCACAGGTCTGAACTCTTAAGAGGAAATACTTATGTTTTCTTCCTGGGTGCCAGAATGACTTCTGACTTCTGTCAGACTGAATGACTGTGTTCAGTCTGTGAAGAAACAAGGCACATGATATTTTGTTCCAAGGCAGTAAGACAGGCAGACTATTACATGGTTTACTTTTCTGAAGTAGTTACTCGGTTTTAGAAACCTTTTCCCCTGTACTCAATTCTCCTACAAAGCACTAAAAAGTACTAGTTAACTAAGTGAAACCAGGCCAGGGGCAGTGTGGAGAGCCCTGTGCTTAGCTTTGTAAACAAAAATACGCAGACATTAAGATGAAGTGTAATTGAAGTGAGATGCAAGGTCACTCACTGAGACCACAGAGGAATCATGCCCAAATACACCAGCTTGGCTCTTCCCTTCCTTGTCATCAGCCATGGATGCTGAGCCAAGCAGTCAGCAGGAGCCAGCGTGAGGCTTTTGTTGGCTTATTCCTTCCAAGGAATATCCAAAACACTTTGCAGCCTTGGAATTTGGCCCTGCTCTTGTTCTCACTACGGTAAAGTGGAGGGCTGAATAAAAGTTTTGTTTGCAGCTTAAATAAATGCTCTTTCCTCAAAGGGCACATTTGGGTGAGGCTGAGCCTCTGAAAGGTAATCTTAACCCTTCCTGGCATCGCTGCTGGGGCCTGGGAGCTCCATGACTGCAGATTTACTGCTGAAGCACTGCTAAACAGTAACTTCCTTTCTCAGTACTGCTTTTCTTCTTGCTTTCAGATTGCACTCAAGTGTGCTGACATTTGCAATCCCTGCCGGGTCTGGGATCTGAGCAAGCAGTGGAGTGAACGGGTCTGCGAAGAGTTTTACCGGCAAGGTCAGCCCCTTCAGCTCACAGCAGTCCCTTCCACCTCAGCTTTCCATGGTTTCTGTGTGACAAGCCAGAGGCAGAATTGAAATGTCCCTTGAGAATGAGCTCTTCAGGGATGCGCTGCCTCACTGGAAAAGTGGGAAGGGGTAGAAGAGCAACAAGTGTTTCTCTGCTCCTCTACCAGTATCAGGCAGGAGGGAGGGCTTTGCTGTGTCTCAGCACTTGAATTCAGCTGCAAAGCCCATGGCTGAGTTCTTCTCTGAGACCCTCCAGTCACCATGACTGTTTCTGAGCTGGAATGGTGCCGGCGCCACGCTGCCCCAAAATCCTCAGACTGGGTTTTGTCTCGCTTTTCATGCTCCCTCTACAACGCTGATGGGAGCCTTACCCTCGCTGTTTACCAAATATGACACATTCTTCTGCCTGCAAATGCAGAGAAAGGGTTCAAACGTGCTTCCCAGCATGCTGTTGAAAGGGCCAAAGCAGGCAAGCCAAACCTCAGCTAGAACCTACTGCAAATGTTTTCAGACCCCTGCAGAGAGCACAGTCAAGCAGGGCTTTTTTTGAAACACAGTAATTACACCATTTGGCTCTATCTGCATAGGCAAGGTCATGCTGTGCTACAATACAGGGTGCAGCAGAGTTTAATCACTGCTAAATTCTTTGTTCAGAGCATCCTGAGAGTTGAAGGCAAGTAGAAGAGCACACAATGAAGTTCTTAGTTCATTTAATATTCTGCACTACAAAATTAAGCCACATCTGAGCTGGCACCTGGTATAGTTAGTCTGTAACAAGGACAAACAGGCCAGCAAGTCAATTTTCAGCCCATGTCAGTTTAAGCTGGTGAAATGTCTTTGACTTAGATGCCTTTGAAGCAACATAAGCAACTTGCCCAGTGCAGGTTTAGTTAGTCAGATGTGTAGTGAAAGCATAATCAGCAGGCAGCTCATGAGGCGCAGTATCACCTTTCGTGTATTAGGGGACCATGCTGAGAAAGACAGTTCAACTCTTACAAATGTAAGCTTTTTCCACTCTCCTCAAGATTTGTTCGTCTAACATGTAAAATACATCTCTGAAAGGGGATACCTGAGTACATGAGACCAGTTAGAAGCACCACAGGGAGAAAAGGAGCATTTTATGTGGGACAGTTTTACAGAAAATGTGGTCTGATTATCACTAATGGCTGTATAACCCTGTTCAGTGGTACAACAACCCCAGTATTAAATAGCATGCATTTAGATATCATTATCACTTTAAAGTGTTTTTGTAGACCTCTCTACCCCCTTACACACAGTGATGGGGCTTGAAGGTATTTTTCAGCATTATGTTTAATATTTGGAAACCATAAGGCCTCATGTTTTGATTTTTAACTATAGATGAGACAGATATTACCACAATTAGTGCTTTGTTTAATCTTCCTCCTGGAACAAAGTTTTAACATTTTTTAATAGAACATTTCTAAGGCCATTTTAATAGAGACTCAGATCCTGATCTTCCAGTGCTCTTACCATGCAAAAGCAAATCTAATTTTTGTCAATTAAGTGATTTCTGAAAGACAAGAAGACGCGGATATACTTTGAGCCAGACAGATATGGATATACTTTGAGTCAATCATTTTCTACCCAAAACACCTACAGAGGGGATATCACTGGAATTAGAAACTTTCTTTTAGTCAAACATTTTTGGACGGGTAGATGAGAAGAAGACAAATTGCACATTTGGAAACATAAGAAACTGTTATTGTGTCTCAGTTTTGCTAAATTGTTCCTTTTGATTGTTCATGAAGCTAAAAATGTTTTCCTGATGCTTTTTAAGCACTCAATTAGAACTGAAAATATTCTGTTCACATTTAAGAAGTGATTCCATGCTTCAGAGGGAAGAAAGGCAAGGCTTAGAAATGCACACAGTGTTTTATATGGGGCTATAGAACCTGAGTAGCACAATAGCAAAAACTGTTCATGGGGAGAAAAGAGCTTTTAAACAAAAACAGTGGATTTAAAGCAAAATATTTCTTTATGGGCTGAATACAGTGTTTTGTCTAAACTAGCAGGTCTGTCTTTCTTACAGGAAAGATCTTCCTAACCACCCTCACTACATCCTTATTAGTAAATCAGATGGACAAAATATTATTGTGTGAGGGGAAGTGGCACATCTTAGCTTGCACATAGTTAACTCTCACTTCCCTTCCTTACTGTAGACAGGAAAGGTCCTGTACCTCTTGAAGTAACCAGGATTGTACACTGGCAGGGAAGGCTGACAATCACAAAGGATGAACGTGTTGCACTCATAGACAGAGAGTGTTTGTTTTAAGGAAACACCTACACCCAAAACTTAACTCAGAGCAATCTTTGCATGAAGTAATTGCAGGCATGGGGAATGCAGTCCCTTCATCAGAAAAAGTGACCATTGTCTTGGCATGGCAATGAGCAAATTACATCCTCTGAGATGTTTTTCTGCTGAATTCTTAAATCCAGCATGGTCGTTGCTATTGATTACATTCAACTCCATAAAAAACATCTCCTGCCATTACTATGTACAGAAGCCTGTCCTGTGTGACCATTTCTGCAGGAATAATTTCTACTGACTGTTTATAAGTGTCTTCTCAATGTCAAACCTGGTCAGTTCTGCATCAGGGCCAGTCTGAGGTGGCATCTGGAGCAAGCAGATCCCCCAAGCAGGTTTTTCTTCCAACAATTCAAAACAGTCCCTAGGGCTGGTCACAGCAGGAGTTGCCTGCAGGAATCTTCAGGGCAGTCCCAGATTTGGAACTGGAGACCTCCTGGTCCAGTTAGTCAAATACTCTGCTATGAAGGTGGTAGGAGTTCAGCCAACTACTTTTTTGTCTCAAGTCAGTCCTGTGGAGATGCCTCTCTGGGGACTTCCTGGATGACCCAGGAAATAAATATGCTCAGCGCAGCAGCAAAGGCATAGCTTGATACCCAGCTACTGCACAATAATAAGACAGACTTTTAATTTCATCCTTTTGCCATGTTTATAACTTGAGCTCCATAGCTCTTGACACTTGAAACATTACTGGAGTCCATGCTTTGGCCCTTACGAGTTTGTTAATGCAGCCACAGCTGTGGGATTCCAGGCTCCAACACTCTTCCCTTTACGAGCCACTTCCACAAGAACACACTAGCAAATTCCACTGCAGTACTACTGTAAATCTAAAATTGATACACTGCAGTTTTCTGTAGGAAGTGATCTGAACAAGTAGTAAATGAACTAGAATGTCTTAAAAGCCTTTCACATAAGAGAGTCTATTTTAAAAATTAAGGTCCTCAGAACACTTACGTGCTCAGATTTAATGTCATCTAAAAGTCATCTTTTCTTAGATTTTTCTTTGTATGGGTAATTGGTTTCTCTGATACCTAAAGAGAAAAAGTCCAGAAAATTAAGGTATTTAGACATTTACCATGGTCATCGTTGGTAGAAGATTCCAACTCCTCACACAGTTGGAGACACTGTAAAAGTGTGGCATAGGTATGGAGAAGAGATACCTATGTAAAAGTGTCAGAAAAAGATTTTTTTTTCCCTTTTTTTTGCAGGTGATCTGGAACAAAAATTTGAACTGGAAATAAGCCCCCTTTGTAATCAGCAAAAGGATACAGTACCAAGCATCCAGATTGGTAAGTATTAGTTTCATTCCCTTCATGTTTATCTTACTATGGCAGAAGCTCTAAGAGAAACTTTTATTCACCACATGCCCCACTCCGATCCAGTTGTTTCAACAATAAGAGCTGTGGATACCATAAGAGTTAAAAATGTGTTCTAAATTAAAATGTTCAAAAAGAAATCTAACTAAGCCAAATGTTGAACGGAAAGACAAAGGAGTCTTTGCATAGGGGAAAATACCCATGGGAAAAAATTGCAGTCAGTGTTAAACACTAGTTACGTTCTTGTCTGAAATCTCCTCCGAGGGTTGCTGACTGTCACAGAGTTTACTGTGACACACACAGATAAAGCCATATCTTGTCATGTATGCTGGTCAAAAGCTGTGCATTTCAAAAGGAATTGATGTCTGAGAGCTTGTTGTTATTTCTCATCAGGGCTTTTGCCACTTACCTTGCTCTGTGCTTTTGAGGCACTCGGTGGGGCAGTGCACTTGTGGAATGAACTTGTTGCTCACCAGCTGTCCCTTGTGTGTTTCTCCAGGGTTCATGACATACATCGTTGAGCCACTCTTTGAGAGGTGGGCCCAGTTTACAGGCAACACTCCCCTATCTGAAAACATGCTAAACCATCTCAGGAGGAACAAGGCCAAGTGGAGAAGTTTGCTCCACAAGCAACACAGCAGTAGTAGGAGCAACGACCACTCAGGCCAAGTGACTGGCAGCCAGGAACAGACTTTAAATGAAGAAGAGACTCCTTAGTGGCAGCTTTGCACTTTTCCTTCTAGCACTGCTATCTCCGTCTTGGTCATAGCAGCAAAAAAGGTCCCGAGGAGCTGGAGCCTGTTGTCAACACCGTGCAAAGGCAAGAAATGGCAGAGCTCTAAGGGTCCTCATGAACATGCCCATGGTTCTGCTGGGTTTCTTTCTGATCTTCATGTTCCTCTCCCCTCTCTCCATTCTGCGCATGCCTGATGCCATTAATCACTCCTGATCCTGACCTGCCCCAACGCGGAGTCCCAGCCAGCAGCCAGGAAGCCAGGCCAGCTGCCATGAAGCGGGAGGATTGCTGAGAGAACAAGGCACTCTTGGTGATCTTTTCATTTATCACAAGTCATATTGTGACATATGTATATAGGCCCAGAGCGCCACACCCTCTCTAGGCTGGCAGCTGGGCTGCACATGAAACCACCAGCATCTCCAGCATCCAGAGGACATGGACTGAGCAGGACAGTGCTCACAGAGGGCAGAGAGTTGGGTTGTTTTAGTGGTTAAAAACCTTTTTAACTTTTGTATTCTGTGCACTAAACAACAGATCTCTAAACCTTGGACTGAAGTTACTCTCCGTATACACACCTTCAGTGTAACAAGGCTTGTTTTGGTAATCATTTTTATGCCACTTTGGATAAAAGACGGGCATCTTCTCATTGCAAGGAACAGTATTCCCTCGCAGCCGAAAGGGAAGGTGTAGTACAGTCTAAACCTTTGAAACACAAACAGATCTATCTTTTGAGTACTGTTTCAAGTTACCTGTTTATATTCATATGTGTACATTTTCTGTAAATAGAAAGCGCTACTGATTCCCATGCCAAAATACTGGAGTACTGTGGGATGATTGCTACCTGTAAAAACATTGGCACTGTGAACAGAATACTGTTAGTTTTAATACAAGAGAAAGCATTTGTAAATATGGTATAGAGTTTATTAATATACACCATTGTTTGTGGATAAAAGCCTTAACTTCTAGCATCCTTCATCTTCTGATAGCTGCCAAAATCATACGATTACAAGATAAGATTCTGAACTGCCTTTCCACTATCCAAGGTGTATCAAAAGTCATTAAGGAATGAAGTCTGGCAGGATAACTTCTTGAAAACTTCAAACACATTCCATATGGGTCCGTGTTGTTAATCCATGGCACCTTGCACATTCGATCTAGGCAAATGTTTCACAGCGCCTGAAGTTTAAAGTTCAAAAAAACCCCCAGACCCCACAGCAACGCCACATGATTTGACAGTTCAGCATGATTACCATTTATTCAAACGTGTGAATTTTTACTAAATAGCTTAGTCATCTACAAAGCACGGCATTAGTTATGGAGTTCAGTTGTTTTCTTGAGAGATGTTGCAGTGTAGCTGATTTTTTCCCCACATGCCCTCCTTAGATAGTCAGCATCAAAATGCATTTGTATTTGTCTTTTAATTAAAAGAATACTTCAACTGACTTTTAGATTAGTCTCAGTCAATGAAGGAAAAAAAGGTGTTGTAGTCAGACTACTAATAATCCTCTTAGCTATCATAGTGGCTGAAGAATTTTCTATGATCTCATCTTTGTGAAAGATACTTGGCCTTAACTATGCCATAAACAACCTCAGTTCTGAAAGTCTTTATTAAACTTTCCTGAAGTTTCTACCATTTCAGTGAGATTGTATTCTCAGACACTAACTGCGTTGCACCAAAGGGATTGTCCCCTGCTCCTCTGCCCCCAGCAAGAATAACTGCACTCATGTGAAGTGCAGCGTTGTTGTGAACCCCCCGTACATCAAATCTGTACAGCTGCTTTCCAAAAGAACGAGTAGGTGTGGCCAGGTGGTCGCATTTGGGTAGTCATGTTGAGATGTGAAGACATTGAAGAGGCCAACAAAGAAAGAGCTTTTCAAGTTGGTGTTTGAGAAGCATGAGAAAGATGTTTACTCACAGAAGTGCAAGGGAAAATATAATGCATTTTTCTCAATTACACGGGATATTGACTTGATGAGAGAAGGTTCATGCTCATAAGGTGACTAATGTGTTTAGAGGAAAATAAAAAGTATGAGTTTTAGTGAAGGATGATTTACTCCACTAATTCTTTGTGAAAAAGAGAAAAGAGGCTGAAAGCCAGTGAAGTAAAAAGGGCAGTTTGTGTGCAATGAGCACACAAAGCGCTCCAGCGATGTTTTTTCTGCCCCTCCACTGTTATGTAAGGTACAACCAATAGAAAACCTCCTTCTTCCTCCCACTAATCTAAATGAGATTCATATAATAGAAGGACCACAGCAAGCAAAGGGCACTCAAGAGAGTTGTAGTAGAATTAAATTGTTTCTAACTACAGGACATAAATGTCTTCTTAAGCACATGAGGGTGGTGGGGGTGGAAGCACCACCACTTTGCAGCTTTTTAGGTGTACCTTTCCTTCTGACAGATGTAGGACAATTATTAGGACATTATGTGAGCGATGTAATGTGCTGCTTAGAAGCACTTAAGTCCATACAAAAGAATCTAATTTCCCATGTTTTATCTTTTTAGTAAGAAATGGAAGCCCTTTGCCATCTAGCTCAAAGAATTTTTTGAAATGTTCTGAAATTTAGTTAAACTCAGCATCTAGCAGCATAAAAAGTTCTCAGAAACACTGTCGAGCTGTTTCTGAAGAGCTTCCAGAAAATAGGTCCACAGGAAGGCTTAGGTACAAATCAAATTTTGTTACAGCCACATTAAATCCAAGCCCTTTTCTACAAGTGGAACCTACAGGTTCCATTACAAGTTTGCTCTTACCATGTTAAAACTTTCCAACTTTAAAAAGCTCTTCTGAAAATTATCAGGCCCTTACAAACTAGTAAGGGCCAAAATTATTATGGGGGATTTTGGTGCACTGAGCGTACCTGCTAGATTTCAATCACCTTGTGTAATGAAACAGTGCTTGAAAGAGGTTCAGGGTGGCCCCAGCAACACTTATGTACTTGTGAGCCAAACCCATTGCACAGGTTTGGGCCTGGGCCAGTTTGCTTCAGGTGCTCCAGACAGAAGAGCTGAGAAAGGGTAGGCTCTGGCAGCAGATGCCTGGCAGCCCAATTCCCTGGGGTCTGTAATGCAAAATGCAGCCATCTGATTTCCCGTAGAAACCCTAACTGGTACAGCCAATCCCACAGCACCAGTGCTTAGCACATGCAGTTGTGACACATGTGTGGTATGCTCTGGTTTGGAGGGCATTTCTGCACTGGGGTTTCTCCCCAGTGTGCCAACAGGCTGCTGATGCACAGAATAGAAAAGCTATGCAGATAACACAGATTTTGGTGGTGTCAGCCCTATCAGCCACTTTACAGAAGGCCCTTGTAAATAATTTTTCCTTCCCACTGGGCCAGTGTAGGTGAAAGATTTTGAAGTTTTCAAACTGAGTTAAGGTTTTCATATCTAGAAAGAGGAAAAAAGCTGTTAAAAGCAGGATGTTAAAATGGTTTTATGCCCCACAAATGAGATTAAAATCTAGCTCCTCTAAATGAAGATTTCATATCATCTAAGAGGCAAAATTTTGTATAACTAACAATAATAAATTATAATAAGTGAAAGTCTTAGGCTGGTTAAACTAATGCATATGTATGCATTGTCATTAAGTAAAGATTTTACCTGCCTTCGTGTTTGTGTCAATGGTTCAGCCACCAGTCAAATGGGGAATAAAACAACTATTGACAACATGTACCTTTGGAATACAAGGAACAAAGACAGGAGTAGCTGAGATTAAGTAGAGCCTATGGAGGAAAAGAAAAAAAACCACATGATCTGCAGTTGTGTCTAACTTAATCTACAACACAGGTCAATTAGTTTTGTATAAACTTGGTTTTCATGAAGAAAACCAAAACCTCCCCAGCGATTAATGAGAAAGCTGTAAATGAGAGAAGGCTGTTGTTACACTGCATAGTGATCTCACCAGCTTTTGTAATCTGGAGTTTCAATTTCTGTTAAAGTTTCCATCAAATTAGACACAGAAGGCACACTTAGCCCTTCCAAATGAATTCTCCTCAGAAAGGAAAAACTCAAGTAGTCACAATTGTATTTTCAGGTACCAGACAGTGTACTAGCCATAATTTATTGCCTTATATTTTAAGTCACTAATCTGAGTTGTCCATAAAGTATGCCCATTCCCCTCCTGATGTCACCATGATCCCTGTGGCCCATAAAAATCAATAATTAAATTTTAATTAAAACCCTACAAATCCAAAAAAAAAGCCATCCCAAAACACAGAACAAAAACACAAAGCAAGCTTCATGCCATGAATATGTATTCAAATTACTTTGATTGGTGCAAACTGTTGCTCTTTGTTTCTATAATCCATCCAATATTTTAGGTACATAAACTTTTAAGTGCAGACCATAAGCTTGACACGGATGTAAAATATATTCTGCTTATCTTTGAATTCAAGATTGTATATGTCATGTTTATTGTAAAGCATTTTATATATACATAGTCGCATATCTTATACAACTCTATGGGCCAAACACTGGTCCCCCCAACTTCACTGGGACCAAGAATCAGCCCCCATATGTGCGTATATATGCCATATGCATCATTCTGAAAGGAAGCACTAGATTGTGTGAAAATGCTGTGACTGCTATGCAGTGATGCCAAGAGACTTAACTGTATCTTTTTTAACATACTGCTGTAAGTATTCATCATGTCGAAGAATGACAGCTAATAAAAAGAAAAAGTGAAGTGTTCCAAGTTCTTTGGTAAAGCCAGTTGATTGAAGGATCTCCTTTGTTTGCAGAAGACATTCTGGTTTGACAAGGCAGCAAAAATCCCACTGCCTCCATTCTCTCACTGCCTCTCCTTTCTACCAACAGAATAATCACTTTCCTAGTGTGCTGTTTCTGAGAAGAACTCTTCTCTAAATTTCCCCTTAGACTTGATGTATGAATATAAATGGAGTTCCCAGCAAGGAAAGCATTTCCATGTAATTTTCCTAAGCATGTAGTAGAAGGATTTTCAAACCCCAGGGAAAATGCTACCCTGGTTAAGTATTTGAAGGAGTTTTCCTTAAACTATTGTTTCAGTTCCAGTAATGAGTTCTCCTTAGGATCATTGGTCAGTTTTAATCTCCATTTTCTCATTTCTCTTTCAGACCATGTTCTTTATATGTGCAACATGACAGGAGCTTTTGAAGTTTAATTAAAAATACAAGAAGTATTGATGTTCTACACTGATAAGTATTTCTAAGTGAGAAATACTTGTCATCACTGATGGGTATCACTGCAGGGACTCTTCATGACTCTGACACATTTCTAAAGCCAGAATTCATTTGTATCTCAAAGTGCTCAGCAACAATACTCCCATAGTTCATGCCATGCAAATACTACAATTGAACAAAATACAGGAGCTGGATATATATTTTGTTTCAGTGCTATTTAGCCAACATGTTAAAATTAAGCTTTTCTAAAAAAAAATCCACCCTTCAATATCACAGTAAGTGTTTTCCTCTGTCCCCCAGATGCAAGCAGAACTGCAAAATTGATTTTAGAATGAAGCCCCTTAGAGATCTGTCCTATATAGGGTTGGAGTTGTGATGGTTTCTCCAGGAGTCTTCTACACAGTCACCATTGGAAAACCACTCTGTTTTCCATAACAGATTTAACAGTTATTTTCAAGTACAGCCAAATCAATACATCTTCCCACTCTGCACAGGCACTGTTTGGATGGATGCTGATGTTTCATGGTTCAAAACGAAAAATGCAGACCAGCAAGTTGAAATGCATCAATGAACAGCAAAAGAAAAATTAATTATATGGCAATATTTTTGTCCTGGCCAAATACTTAATTATGGTTTATAGTTCAGGTGGAAAATCTTGGAAATATATCTATTCAACAAGAGAAGAAACAATGTAATATGAGTGTGACAATCAATTATGTGACAGACACTCCTTTTTGCTAAAGGTGAGGAAGGCAGGGTCTCTCCAATGTCCAATCCTCTTCTAGATAAAATGAGTGCTATTACAAAATACTCTGGTTTTAGCAACAAAGCAGGTTTGTGGTGTCCCCAGTTCTACACCTCTCAATCTTTCACTGATGTTGTGTACAGTAGAGTCTCAAACAGCTGTTTAGGGACTGACAGCAAATGAATCACAGGGTAGAGAAGAGTTTAAAGTTGCTCTACCAGTAAAACCAGTGGATCATTTCACTGCATCCTGGGTTAGTTTGGCTCTTAGGCAGAGTTGAACACCGTGCAACACATTAATCCATGACAACTGGATTTTGCTACCAGCAGCAGCACTTCCTAAAAGCTACCTTGGCCATGCAGACCTAAGACACAAGGAAGTATTGCAGCAGCAGATTAATTTCATGTCAGATTTTATAGTAATATAATTTAGAGAGAAGATTTGAATCCTGTACCCTACAGAGCTCTAAATATATTGTACTACTAGATTAGGAAGGGGATCTGGGTGTCTTAAGAAGTTGTAACTAAAATGGAGTATTAGAATTCATACAAACAGAGGAGTTGTCCTATTATTTCCAGCACTCCTACCACCTAAAGATAAATTCAGTTTGTATACCAATCATCCCCCTCTAGAACGTGCAAGTACAAGAGTGGGAAGTGCAAAGGGTGGCAAAATGCAATTTGAATCATGAAAAGCCTCCAGGAGGGAGAGAGAGGAGAAAATACTGTAGTTTCATTAGTATCACCTATAAAAAATCAGAACATTTGGGCAGACTGAGAGCTTCTGCATTCCCCAAATCAAAACTTAGGTAAGCAAAGTGCAGCAGTACATATGGAAGTTGCTGCCATAAGAATATATTAACCTTTAACCACATAGAAAAGCTTAAAAGATTTAACATTACATGAAACAAAAAGGGAATTCCTGGTTACAAATAAATATTACTAAAACCATAATCCTGAAGAAAATACACTTTAATACTTAAATCCACCATTAGTTTAAAATGATGCTTTCCTGACCTACTCATGCTACTCAGCAGCTGTTACATTCCAAATCCAGATTTTCCATTTGTATGTGTAGAGGATTCCTATGAGCTTAGCTCATACATAAGCATATTTATGAAAGAAATATAGCTACCAAGAACAAAAACCTGGTGCTACACTTACACATGTATTTGATGCCCAGCCTCGTTTCTATAACCAGACCTACCAACACCTGCAGATATTCTCAGGGGTTAGTCCACGTTAGGCAACCAAAATGCAAAGAAAATAGGAAGTACTGAACATATGGTAGATTCAAGGGCAGATTGAGAAACTATTGTCCCAAAGATCACTTGTTTGTATCTGCCATGCTTTGTGTTGGGTAAATATATTTCAAGTCAACTTCTAGAAGGAGGAGAAAAAATAGATACATTAGTATCCTCAGCTGAGAGACCAAAACATGAGTGGAATTACTTTGTTTAAAAAAATGTACTGTTTTGCTGGGATGAGGTTCCATGTAGATGACAACTAGTTTGAGGCATCACCATCGCCCTTTGTGGTACAACATCTATGTGGCACATTTATTTCCCTCAGTGCATCAAGAAAGTTACTGCCACCAGCTCCACCATTTCTGCATGGACCATTAAGGAGTGGCCCCTTGCACTTTGGTGCTTTGAAGTCTCTTTTATTCAGTGCTAGGGCTGAATTAATATGCACACAGATGTGCATGGTAAGTGCCCCAGTTCCCACATGAAAAGGAAATCTACCTCAACAATGCCACTGCCTGAAGACTGCCTATATAAAGGTAGATATTAAACAAATCAAGAAACATAAATAAGATTTGGGATGGGTACATCAGCTACTCAAAATGGCTAAGTGACATTGGCACATTGGCTTTAGGTACATAAAGGTGTGTACTAAAGTTGTAACAGAGCAAACACACTTCCTTCATTTAACTCCATTGTAGTTACAAAGATAAAACAGAAATTATATTACCTGATGGGATTCATGAATCAGAGTGAAAAAACTTGGATAAGAAGCTGTGCAGTTGATTTCCTTTTGCACTTTATCCTCACAAATCCTCTGTGCTTGGTCTATCAGGAGTCCTGTTTGGAGACAAGTAAAACTGGTTATCAAGCCTCATTTTTACCTTCTTGGAGGTCTTGCCCTCATCCCCTCCCCTCCCCTCCCCTCCATATCTAATTATGGTCAGCTTCTTCAAAACACCAACTAATCACAAGCAACACAAAAAATAATTTGATTTGGGAAATGATGGTATCTATTATGATTCCAAACATAATTGGAATTCGTAAGTTACGTTCTTTTAAAGAGAAATGTGATTTCCCCCTCCCTCTCAAGAGAAGCAGGGAATTCTTTCTTCTCTGAGATGCTCTGGATTTAGCTGGAAGTAGAAAGATCAGAAACTGCAGGATATCTCATGCAAGAGAGCCACAGCAAGAAGCTCACAGCTCACTCAGAGAATGCAGCAAGTAAATAAAATTCTTGTGAGCCTTCGCAGTCAGCCAGACATGAGAGGGGCCCAAGAGGCTTTGCTGCAACTCAGAAAGGTATTGAGTTAAGTGGAAGCAAAGACTTGCATGCAAGGTCACAACCCCTTTTTTATTTTCTGTCTTCCTTGATGATTTCTATGGTCTCCCTAGATAAAACTGTGGAGGTTTTATTGTAATAAAGTCTGTCTTTTTGATTTCAAGAGAAACAGCTTCTTGAGGCTCAGACCTGCTTCAATTCCCATCCCACTTTTTATTAAGCATACTTTACAATAGTATTAAATATTTTCTCTTTTTTTAAAGAGTATTTCAGTTTTCCAGTTTTAAGAAAGAACAGTCAATGATATTACTATTAATGTTTGCTTAGGGTGAAGCATAGGAAAAATCTGGACTTCAGCTGCCTTTTACCAAGTCCTTCACTTGCCTAAGACCTAAACATGTCACAATATAATCCTGTGTGACCAATAGCCTCCATTTTTTTCTGAACAGTTTTTTCTGAACAGTTCGACTACTTAGGCCTTTATGTTGACAGGCTTTGAAATACAAACCACCAACAAAATTATCTGGCATTTTGATTATGACAACTCAAGTGATGCTGTATGAGAAATGCTAAATAGAGGTGTAGTTTATTTATTTTTACTGTGGTTACACTTTGGAGTGCTCTAGTTATGGATCAGGAACTGCACAAGGAACACCATGCTGCTCCCATGACAAGTTGTTATAATAGAAATAATTTAATAACAGAGTCATGTTAGAGGTCAAGAAGCAAATCATCACAGATCCTGAAGAGAGCAACATGTGAAAGGACAGCTTTTACTTCAATGATAAAAGAGCACAACTTCTTCTATGGTTTTGTGGAAAAAGTGAATTGATGACCTCCAGGCACCTTAAAAAAATCTGGACATGTTGCTAGGGGTTTGGGGTCCCATTTTGTTTTGTTTTTTTTCCTTTTGAGTTTATTCCTTCACCAACCCAACTGCAATTCTTTCCGATACTTCAGTGTCATTAATTTAAAGGGAGAGCTTACATCATCACTTGAGTTACTTGACAGCTTGAAGTTTTGCCTGTGGGTGTTACATTGCTCTCAGGGACATCTTATATAATAATGCAGATGTCATTTTTCAGCTGGCATGGCACATCTACAAGCTTCAATTTTACTGAGATTCGTGATGGAATGAAGTCTTCTTAAATATCTGAATATTGGCAAAGAGTTTCCACCTTCAAGAGCAGCACAAGTTACTCTGTGAAACTAAGAGGACTTTAAATGTAAAACAAATATAGTAAGAGCTGTTCTCTTTCTGAGA